TATAAAAACACAACTGAAACAATGAAAACAGAGAATATTTCAGTACAACAAACTCACACAGAACTTGTTATACATCCCCAAACTGCTATTACTAAAGAAGCAGGAAATTTAGCCTTAAATATAAACATCTTAAGGCATTCATGTGTTTGAGATATTAAAGCTCACTATTAGATATAACAACACCATAAGAAAAGATGCATAAATTTTTCAAAATCTGCCTATAAAAACAATTGATAAAAACTAGGAATGCAATATTTTATTGTCCCACTTTAAAATGTTTTATTACCTTCTTTAATTCACTGTGAGCAGCTGTTTATATGCCAGTTACTCCATGGCAGTACAGAGCAGTAATAAATTACTCTCAAATATACACAAGTCACTATTTGAGTGGAACAATTGTTTGTGCTAGTGATTTTCAGATTGACCTGCCTGCCAGCCCCTCACCTTAGACTCCTGTCTTGGTTTTGATACCCATTCCCAGATACCCCCCAAGCTATTCCTTCTTTTATATTTCCCTCTCTTGCCACCATCCAGCTGTGAGGACATAAACCACTGGGCCACTTTGGTTTATCTCATTTATCTTCTACTGCAACCATGGGAGCTGTAAAACACTGCAACTCCCTTGATCAAAATCCTCCTGTTTTCTATTGTGTTCATTGGAACAGGGAGAAAACAGACAATCTGTGGTTTATATTCTCTGTCCTGATTGCACCCTGACAGGAGCAGCTGCATGGAAAGTAATGCCCATCCCTTAAAATTTGTGATGTCACAAGTCCAGCTCATGGAGAAGTTTCAAGTATAGTGAACTATTTTCAGAAGTTTATAATCTAATCTGAGTATATTTCACAAGACCAGAATATACAGAAACCAACCTGTTGGCAACCTTTGATGCCTCAGATTTTATCTCTTCTATTTTTCAGATTCTGTGCTGCTTTAGTGTGCAGTTCTGAGCTTCATATTAGGGGATGGTGAGCTCTCTGCACAGAGTAGGGAGACGAAACAATCCCTTTTTTTTTTTTTTTTTTTTTTTTTTTTTTTTTTTTCAGTATAAACCAAAAACCTGACACAGTTTAAGGCCTAATCTCAGAGAAGTTTCTGTACTTCTTAAACTGGACTGCCAGATTTCCCTTTAATAATTTCATTTTACTAAAATGCTCATCTTCAAAGGGAATGGGGCAATGCAGGCAGCTCTGGGATTTAGGAGCCCTGAAGGTTGGGAAAACCTGCATGGAGCAACCAGATACCCAGGGAACTGTGAAGCCTGCATCTCCTCTGGACTGTGGGAACAAAAAGCAGCTAAGTCTGACAAATTCTTAATTTTTTTATTTATTTTTTTAATGCTCACATAAGTAAACCAGCTTAGTGCTTAGCCAGATTAGTGCTTCAACACTTGCTTAATCATTTACAGGGTATAACATTTGTGAATGCTGCAGTGCTGAATTGGCTAAGCTCTAAAGACAGTTTATATAACCAAACATTAAACTTCAAACAGCTCAGCAAGGTCATCGCTGCCCCAGCGCCAAGAAGAGCTCCCAAGCACTCTAAGATTTCTGGCCTAGTTAGCATGTTTTCAAAATTCTTACTAGGAGTCTCTTGGCAATTATAAAACACAATTTTGCTGTTGAAATGCAGAGGAGCTTTACAAGAGAAAAGCAGCAGATGCTCCTCTCAAAAAGCTTTAAGGTTCAGAAGAAACAAACAAATTTTAAAAACCCCATACTTGTTGAAGAGATGTTAAGACCAAGATCTAAATACATGTAAGCTCTCATTGCATGTAATAAACACTCCCTGGTTTAGCAGACAGCATGTCAATAATTAGCCCAAGATTGTTGTGTTTATCCTAAATTATCTGATGTGGAGCACAGAACACTGCACACTGTCTCATACCATCCCTTAATGATATGAAATCCACTAATTCTTACAAGTAACTTATTTGCTGGGTCTTTTGAAATCCCTGTGGCATTTTCTGACACATTTTGTAACAGACAATTTAAAATCCAAAAATCATAGTCTCAGGAAAAAAACCTTAGAGCAAGCCAGCCTTATCCTCAGAGGTCACAGAAACAGGAGAGAAAATGATTAGCTTGCCATTAGGAGCACTTCAGATTTCATCACTCACACCATTCCTGTTCAGACTTTTCCCTCTCCTCCATGAAAATGTCTTTGTGGTCACCATATCTGTGCCTTTATCCTTCTCCATTCAAAAACACAAAGAATAAGAACAAACTCAACCATCTCCCCCTTAGTTAACTTTGACAATACATAATGTCCAAAATGACAATGGAAAATAGACCATGAAATCCATGTGAAAAACATGCCTTCAAGGAACACAGTTATCACAAGAGATAAAACCTAATCTTTCTCATTTAAGTGCTTATCAGTGTGGATTACAGATATCAGAAGGCCAAGGGGGATCACAGTTCCAAACACTGAACTTGAACACTGAGTTTCCCCTATTAAAATAATTATTTTACAATGGATAAATTTCATCGTCCAAAATATTTCTAGTCTTGTGCTGAATCACAAAGGAATTAATTTTTTTTTTTTGGTTGGTTGTTCCAGAGAAAGCAGGAAGAAAGGGAAAAGACTTTGATTAAAGGCAAATTGATCATTATGTGTGAACTCTGCAAAACTGCCAAAGCTCCCCTTGGAGCACCCACGGGGCTGTTTCATCTCTTTCAGACACCAAGAATTCTATCACTGTTCCGTTAAATCCACAGAAACTTTTCTACAACTTCATTTTCATTTGTTAACGATGTTTTGAGTGGAACTCCTGACAGCAGAAAGCGACAAGAGGCATTAGGTGTGGGCAGGTGGGAGAGGATCCAGACAAGGGCCACAAAGATGATCCAAGGCTTGGGAAGCCACCATGAGAGCAAAGGCTGAGAGAAATGGGTTTGTTCACTCTTGAGAAGAGAAACCTCATTACCACATCCTGGCCTTTAAAGAGGGCTGCAAAGAAATGGAGATTCCCTTTTTACATGGAAAAGGTGAGGGGTGATGGGAACAGGTTACTCTTGGGAAGATTCCCACTGCAGACAAGAGGAAAAATTTTCACAATGAGAATATTGGAATATCTTCCCAAGGAAATGGTGGATTGGACACTTCTAAGATGCAGCTGGACATGGTTGTGAGTCATCTAGACCATGCTTTTCCCAGAAAAGATTGAACTAGGTGATCTGTGAGGTTGGACTAGGTGATCCATGAGGTCTCTTCCAACCTCGTCCTCCACAATGATTGCCTAAGGAAAAAAATCTGCTTTCACATCATTTAAATACCTCAGGATCTTTCTCCCAAAGCTCAATTCTTATGGATTGAATATTTATACACCATCTGGACTTCAAAGAGACATGTCCTCAAAAGCAGCACGATACCAGCTTTACACAAAGTCAGTATTGCTTTTGGAGCTTGCCTCAGATACTTCACTGGTACCAAATTTGGATAAATTTGCTGTGGCATTGTGACAAATTTCCTTCTTCTCCAGGATCAGACATCCTGAGGAGAAGACATTAACTCTGTGGATATGAAGCAGTTGAAACTGATTTTACCCAATTGTGCAGGAGAACCTCACAGGCTGGAGACCAAGGCAATGGACACTGAAGATGATCTGACTGGAATTTTGCAGCTATCTCCTGAGTTTAGTAACAGGAGGACATTTTTAGGGAAAGAAAAATTCTGAAACTCTCAGGCTGAAAGAGAAGATGGTGAATGGTTTGACCACCGCAACAGTTTAGGGCTAAGGGAGACACACTGGCTATTATTTAACTCTTTCCTTTGAAAGTTGCAGAAAGAAGAGTAAGAGGATAATTTTATGGGAATGAAAATAGAAGGATAGCAGCACAGGGAATGGCATCAAGAGGAGTAGGGAGCTTTGCTTCCTCTGTCAGAAGAGCAGACTGTCAGTAGGAATCCAGCTCGGGGCTATGTCTGAGCGAGTGCTGCTTAGGTGAGCAGGTTACAACTGTCCGGTGTTTATCCCAAAAAAACCATGGACATTATGCTGAGAATTAATGGGAATGTTTACAGCTCTCGTAGCTACTGCTAGAGTGTCTCCAATCTCCCATCTCAGACAACTGCCGTTGAATTATTCATGATGTATTTATAACCTACAATTCATGAATGTAAGGGCTAGAAAAATAAAGCAGTTATTTCATCAACTGGATTTGGAGAAGACCTGAAGGTACCCAGTACGAGACAAAAGCCTAAAAAAGCCCAGATCCATGAAGTTTTACCAGCAGTATAGCAGTGCTGAGGTTTGGGTAAAGCTTGTGGAAGGAGCTCAGGTAACAATTTTGTCTCAAATAAAACCTCAACAAAAACTTAGTAGACTGATACTATTTAATATATTTGAATTTAAATGAAAGATCTTTAATTATACCATTGGAATATGAGAACAATTCATCATAGTGTAGAATTTTCTTTTTGAATACTTTACAGATAAATGACACAAGCTTTTTAATTACCTGTCAGGTGAGAAGCAAAACACAGGGATAAAGATTAGTTCATTACATAAGTATTTCAAAAGTTATTATTTCACCCATCTACCAGGAAAGCCCCAAATTACATTTGATATATTGGCCTCATGCTGAGCAGACTTATAGCTTTTCTAGGCTTTCTGAAGTAGGAGAAAAGGCTGATTTTAGCCCCCTATTCTGACACATGGCACAGAGGATCTATCCCTTCTACTTTTACTCATTTTGTAACTTAAACAAGAACGTGACTATATACACCAGAGTATGAAATTGAAAGAGTGCCTCAGATTAATGAGTGTGTTCTTAGAGCTTCTTTTACTATTTGTCATTTTTCCCACAAACACATAGTACTGCACATTTGAAAACTATTCATATCCAAACAAAAATGAAAAGAAGATTTTAAAATATGGATAAAAGGAAAAAAATCATCTTGAAAAAAGTTTGAAAGGACAGTTTTTATATAATTATATATAACATGGAAAGCATCAAAAAGAAAAAAAAAACCAAACAACTGAAGTGTTGACCAACCTTTATGTCTGTGAGATCCATCCATGTCAGAAAACTCAATGTGATTCTCATCAGCCCAGTACAGTCTGTGGTTGACATAGTCTATGGTGAGAGCCATAGGTCTGGATATCTGTGTTTCTATAACCACAGCCTGCCTGGATCCATCCATCCCAACGCGGCCAATGTGAGGGGACTCACAGCAATCGATCCAGTACAGGTATCTGTGGTACAAAACACAGCAGCTGAGTAACTGTGATGCCTCAGGTTTTAGCTTTTTTATGTTTCAGTTTCTGTGCTGCTTTAGTGTGAACTTTTGAGCTTCATATTAGAGGATGGTGAGCTCTCTTCACAGAGCAGGGAGACAAAACAATTCCTGCTCCAGCTGGGGACCAAACGGACAAATGATCCAAATCTCAGGCCCAAGAGCACAAACAATAGTGGAATGGAAAAAAACAAGAAGGATGGGACTTCATAACCTAAAGCTATAATTGGACAATTAACTCTAATACGTAAATGGACCAAAACTTATCAAAATTAAGGACCCCATGACCGGTTGTGCATTTTGTGACCATTTTGGTTCATTTGGGTGTAGCCCTAGCTGGGCTCTTGTGCTGCCCAAGGTGGATCCATGAAGGCCTTCTAATAAATCCCTACTTTGTTCTTCAGCTCTGTCTGGTCTCTGTTCTAGGGCAGCCTACACAAGGCATCAGCAGCAATAATTGACCAGAGAGGTTGTGGCTGCCCCATCCCTGGAAGTGCCCAAGACCAGGCTGGATGGGGCTTTGAGCAACCTGGGATAGTGAATGGCATCTCTGTCCATCTTGGAGGTTTGAAACTGGATGATCTTTAAGTCTCTTCTTAATCAAACCATTCTGTGACTCAATGCTTAAATTATTTAGTTGATCTCAACAATAAATCAGTAATTACTTTACAATATTTCCATCTTCCAGATAAATCTTTCATTTTTCTGGACCTGTCTCTAAATAGGTGTGCTGAATATAAAGGGTTTGAATAAGAATCCCCATGCTAAATGTGATTTTATTAAATTGATGATGGACTAGTAAAATGTGTATTTAAAAGGCTTAGTCTTGATACCTTAGAATTTGAAGCATCAGCCAAACTGGACTTTGTGAATCTCACATCCTGCATAAATGGATCATTACTAAATTTATCAGAAATATGATATTGCATCTGCTTCTTTTTTTTTTGACACATATTTCAAAACTTTTTTTGCTGTTAACAGCCACATAATGCAAATTGAATTGCTTCAATAAGTACTATCTCCAAAACATTAAAACAGTTTCTCGCACAGATAGTTTAAAAATGTGTGAAACACTGAGAGAGACTGTCGGAAAGCTGAACAGAAATTTCCCCCTCAATATGCTATTTAACCACAATGCAGAGCGCGTTTGCCATAAAGAAAGAAAAATCCCATTATTTAGCACGTGGATGCATGTGGCTGCTGTTGTGTGTCGTTACTCAGAGCCTCAAGGACAGATCTTTCCAGCTGGGAAGCTGATTCTGCTCTACAGGCTTTGGACAGGCTCTCCAAAATCCAGATGCAGCTCATATTCTTAAGAACCACCTGGAACCGAGTTTGTGTGCAGGAGGAAATGGTGGCCCTAAGAACAGTTACAGGTGTCCTACAACACACAGGTGCAATATGCTGGCACCCAGCCTGCTCCACACCAGCAGCAGAGGGAGGCAACTTTCTCCACTCTCTCCAACAGAAAATGTTTTCTTTGGAAACAAACTGCATGGCAGCGGCAGGATAATTCACTAAACATTTCTCATTTGTGAGAAAAAAAAAAACAAACCCAAGATACAAGTAACACCATTACAAATTATAACTCTGAATTCGAGTTTGTATTTTCAGTAAAATTCTATATGAAAATAAATTAACAAAGGCTTATGTTTAGTAATAAAAATATAATAACAGCTTTGCAAAGCTGTCTATACACACCAAGAAGAAACCCAGTAAGTTTACTATGCCTATGTATTTATACATCTAAGTCTACCTGAAAGACTTGGACTCTGTGTACTAACTTTGCAGAGTGATTTTTGCATACTCAGGGATGCCCAGGCAACCACAGAAAGATCCCATGTATTCATCTCTTGAAAACATTAAACAAAAGTCTGCATCCTCCCTCCCCAATTTTACAGGGAAGAAATGGCACAGTTGCAAGAAAATTAAATTCTAGTTCTAAGAAATAGTAGAAAATAGCTTTTATCTTAAAAAAATAGTAAACTAGACAGGTTATATTTTTATGCAAGGAAAAACACTGATTTTCTTTGTTTAGGTAGAGTCCAGACCAACACAACAACTTTCTCCTATCACTGAATATTAGATTTAAAAAAAATCCCAAACAAGCAAAAAACTAAGTATTATTTCCTATGTATTTTTTTAAAAAAGATTTTAATATCAAATCAGGAATAAGTAGGAAGTACTTAAAACTGGCTGCTTCATACCCAGCTTGAGGATCTAAGGACAAATCTCTGGGAAACTTCACTCTCTTGCTCACAAGGACGGTTGGGTACAAGCCATTGAGTTTAGACACCTCAATAATTCTCTTTTCTGTATCAGACCAATAGAGATTCTTCCCAATCCAATCGACAGCCAGGGCATTGGGAACAGCTGTATTGTGAACTACCTGGAAAAGCAAAAATTACATTAATTATTTATCTAAATAACTGGGAAAAGGAATAATAATTTGAGAGTTACTGATGCCGTGATATTGAGAGACTGGATATTTGATACAGTGACATAAAGCATGTAAAAATTGGGTATCATTTACTGCTAAACACTGACACTTTTCAGGTAATGACACTTCTTAAGTAGCTACAACAATGTGACACTTTTGTCCTAGTAAGGGAGAATGGAGCATACTATGGTATTGTAAAGAGGAAACTACCAATGTCTCTGTATTATGCATAAACTTTTCAAAACTTTTGATCTTTCATTTTTCATCTTAAGTTTCTAGTTTTCTCTTAATGTAAAAAAAAAAAAAATTACAATAAATTAATCAAACAAAACCAAACTTTTCTCCCTTTCACTATTTTATTTTTTGTTCCACAGAACAGAGTGGAGATGAGGCTGCCCTCCCCACAGCGTGCCCTTGAGCACATCTGCTGCTCATCTCCCCATTTCTCTCAGCAGTCTCCATCAGCATATCTTTCATTTTAATGTCACAGTAGTGCCATATGTCATCGTGACAGAGAGACCACGAGAGCACTCAGAGTTGCTGCCTGGAAAGGAAATACTGTGCTTTTATTTCCAGCATTCATGCAGCAGAAGAATGAGGAACTTCCCTAGAATTAGTTAAATTTCAAAAGGACTACATTGTTAAGAGACAAAAGCAATTTAGTCACCTACTGGAAAGCCCACAGACTACTGATAGGGATGTGTTATTCTCAGGGTTTTTGATGACTTGGATAATTCTGGAACTTGAACAAATTCCTCTAGATATATGTGATTACAAATCTCATCACAGCATGAGTCAGTCTGGCTTGTCTGGGAGTACTTCATGACAAGTGTTCAGTAATATTCGAATATTCACAATCATTTGAGTCCAATTTCTTCTAGGCTTGAAAATTCTATTCCTGACAAGATCTATCCTGACTATTCCATTCCTGATTAAGTCCTGATTAGGTTTGTGCAACTAGAACTTCAGGAAAAAAAAAAACCACAAATCAGAAAGCAATACTTGAAAATGTATGAGATTTCTTAAGCACTAATAATGGGTTTATTACTCTGGTGTACATTCTAATTTACTCTTATCTTTATCACCAACAGCATGTGCACCAGAATATAGACTTCATGTATAAACCTGTATTATATATAACTGAATGTGCTAGTTTTTAAATTTATTTACCATCTGAAGACATGGAAAGGCCTTCAAGATAAGAAGGGATATGGTGAGATGCTTTAAATCAATTTTATAGTTATGAATATGTAAAAGCACCTTCTCAGGTTGTTACATAATTTATCACCTTATAAAATCTTTTTAAAAGTTAAATTCCAGGATACATTGCTTTCCTAATGGAAATAAGAGGTTCTATTTTCTAGAAGCTCCACACTACCAGCTTCACCAGTTTATAAAGGAGTAATTGCAGCAACTGCTGCACTGGCACAAGGGACATTTCATGCAGAAATGGATAACTCTGAAAATCTAGGTAGTGGTTTAGCTGTCTAAACACTACACCAGAGCACCACCAAAATCATGAGTCTCTCTTTCTGATGACTTCGGAGGGAGAGTCACTTCAACCTGTCCCAGTCACTGAGACCACCAGTGTGGCACTTCCTGTGCATGGTCCAGCTTCTGCCTGCATTTCCCACTAACATGTGAATCTAAACTCCACAAAACACTGCTAACAGCTGACCACAGCCATGTGAAAAAGCTGGCATTTCAACTCACTAAGTATCTCCTCCATGAGCAGAGGAGGAAGAAAAATGAGATGCCATCAGGCTTCCCAGAGCTGGTGCGCTGAAGAAATGCCATCTCCTGCAAGGGGAACCCGAGGCAATACATCAAATAGCATCACTTGCACTGAGAGCAGACCTATTTATAGCTAAGAATTACACAACAAGGGGAAAAATATAAAAATGAGAGATCCATCAGGGGAAAAAATCAAAAAAACACTCTCATGAGAAAACGACCCCATTAAAAGATGCAAACAGGTTTGCTAGATAACGAATAATAACACAAGCATTTAAATAATTAAATAAATAATCATAATAATTTCATTTGAACTAATTTTTAATAATGTCAGTTATTAAGTATTTCCTATAGCAACCTAATAAAAAAAAATCAAAGAGCCACAAAAATTTGGCACTGCCTTAATGTTACTGACAGACCATTCAGGTTAGACTACTGATTAGCTGCAGTATATAATTCTTATTGATTTTTTTCACCTTTTTTTTTTTTTTTAGCTTTCAGAGGCCAAATCTGGGCCTAGTTTTTCACAGAAAAAAACCCCAGTTTTTTGTATGAAAATTAAATGGACTTATTTTTCTGATTATTGCTCTGAATATGGCATCCTATATGAACAAAATTTTCATCAACATGACACTTGTACAAATTGCAAATGGATGGAAAAATGAAATATCCTCCATGTCCTCATCCTAATTTTCTTCTAGTGGTTGTTCAGCTTTCTGATACCTTTTCTTAAAAAATGAAATTAATAATGAATCAGTAGAAAGCAATTTTTTTATAGTCTTCTACCTGGTTATTGGAACGTTTTTAACTGGAAAAAATTCTTTGTTCTTGAAACAGTGAAGATTAGAAATAAAGAGTCTGAGTAATCTCCAGCCCTTATATAATACTGAATCATCCCAAAGGGACATAAGCTGAGGAGGATGCTTTGGAAACTGTTTAAAGACAATAAATATGATTCAAGGATTTAATGGATTTTGAACCCCACACTTGCCTATCTTCTATTTTTTTCCCCACACAGGTAAAACTTCTGAGTGCATGCTGGGTTTCACTTTTGCCCCTATGCAATCAGATTGCCAGAAGCTGCTCATTCACTTGCTTCTTTTTCTTTTTAAGAACAATTATTTTGGTGTGAAGGATGCAAAGGCTCACTGGCTCCAAATGTTCCCTGGAGCCAGGGAGTTTCAAACCCTGACTCATAAGGAGCAAAGCTGATGCACAAGCTGAGAAGGAAAACCACAAATCTTTTCTCTCTGCATTTTTTTTGTTCCTTCTTTGCACACCAATATTCACAGGATATGTTGCTGCTCATTTAACTCTGTGTTTCAGAAGGTCAGACATAATAGAATAAACAAAGCATTCCTTACTGCTTATCACCAGTTCTCGGAAAATGTTCACACAAGTCAACAAATGTGCTTTGTAGTGGATTTGTGAACTTAATCCACTACAGAGCCAGAACAGGCTGTGCAGAAATGGGAGTGCACTTTTACCCTTGACAGCAAAGACAGTGAGTTATTTTAATTATCAGTGTAGTGGAGGTGAAACAAAAACAAACTGAAGATCACAGGAAATGTTATACAGGAAGAAATAATACACCAGTGTATTTACACAGCTTACACCTAACTATAGCTCTTTTCTTCTTTGGCATCCTGGAAGCCACATGGAACTGCCAATTCAGTAAACTGTCAGATAAGTCATAAGGAATTTAGCTCCTAAATACAGTTCTCCTTGCCCCTATCTTTACTTCAAATAAGATACAAATGCAATTAAATTTTACTAGGACTTGCTAGCTCACGCTGCGTTTGTATTCATACACCAAAGCCTCACAATCTGGGTTAAATGTATGAGGGAGCATTTCCCAAAGCACTCAAAAAATTTAATTCTAGTAGTGACATTATTAATCCTCAATTACCTTGATGTCACTTCCATTTAAAGACATTCTGTTTATGCGACTGCCATTTGGTCTGCTGGAATCAATCCAATAAATGAACTCTTCTCTGTAGTCAAAGTCTATTGCAATCACATTGTTCAGCCCCTAAAAACAGAAAAAAAGGTCCATTTATTCAAATGTTTGAACACAAACTGCTGGATAGCATTCAGAATGCAAAACATAGTTAATATTCCTAATGCTTTATTTTACTGTCTGCATATTTCTGAAGCACTTCCCTCTCATTTCCATGCATTACTTGTAAACAGAGTAAGACAAAGTCTGCAACAGAAATAAATATGGTGACAAATTAACTGTGTCACTTCAAAAAATGCAGATGATACATGAAACTAAGTGAGGCTCCTGTGTTTTTCTGTACTCTGATTTAAATGAAATTTAGCAGTAAATACTTCTAATTTTTGCTCAGTTTCACTGCTGATTACTACCTTTAGCCTTTCTTTAGCAAACTAGATGGGAGGATCAGAAATAGTATAATCTTTATGATTATGACATTTAAATAATGAAAAAAAATCCTTAGTAATATAAATTAATCAGGAATTCAAAATGGTGGTGGTGCAAAAAGACATTAATGTTAATTCCTGAATGAGGAGGTTTTGACTTCTTAGATGTATTGTATGTATACATATACTATACTATATAGATATACTATATACCTATAGTATTATAGGCACTCTCTCTATATATATATACATGTATTTATATATATATGTGTGGATATACACAGACACAGTGGTAGATACAAAAAGCATGAAAGTGGGAGATCCAGCAGGAACCTGGGAATCTCCTATGGCACAAATTACAAAGCCAACACATTTTAAGAGAGAGTGGTGATTATATCTGAGGTACTCCACCCTGGGAGGAGCAGTCATACAATAATGGCTTTTCATCCCAAATGGCAGATAAGGAAGAAGAGGGCTGCATTCAGATGATGCCTCTTATTTCCTTATCTGCCCCATAACCTGCTGAATGTTGTGATATGTAGTGAAATCACAATTATCCTTAATATGCCAGGGTGTTGTTATCAATGAAATACGGAGCAGCAGCGCTGAAAGGAACGGATGCGGTCTGTATTCCCTCTATAAATTCAAGGTCAGTTAATCAATTCCCTTATCAGCCCAACGGCATCCTGCTCTCAGGTAGATCAGCAGCCTCCCTGTTTAGTGTATTTCATTGCTGGGAAGGGATGTGCAGGACCAGCCAGCTCCAAAATAAACAACTAAGGACAACAATATTTAATCGTACAGAAACTGATACACGGCTTATCCGCCACCTACTGCTGTGTAATTACTGTAAATCTACCTTTTGATCAAAATGTACAGGAAAAGAGGAGTTAGGCTGCACAAATCATCATTATAAAAAGCCTGAAACAATTCAGTGTAGGAAGACCACTCTCATTTTTCAAAAATATCATATACATGCAGACACTTTTCACAAAACCAGCTGCAGCTCTGTCACTTGTAACTGGGCTGCAAACCACTTGTCCTGTCTCTTTTCCTCCTCTTAGTATAATTGCATCTACAGAGAAACCCCCAGCCCAAATTCTTAACCAAGGAGACAAAAGGTCAACGAACACAAAATATTATTTAATACCATTTTATAACATTCTATAAATCAAAGCCAGCAATTTGTAAAAAAATATGGCCTTATCTTTACATATTCCACAGCACTGTAAAAGTTTCCTAATGAGAGAATTGACTTCCTGCACTTTCGTTTCATGTGTTTTATTTTGGGTCAGCTTAATTTCAATTTTTATCAGAACATCAACTGCAGATAAAAAATTCTGTACACCTGCAACAGAGTTTTCTGTCCAGACATAATTTCCTCTTTATCATATACATATCTCACTTAAGCCCTCCTAGCATAATTCTTTGTCATTTCACAAGTAATCTGCTTTTTAGAAGGAATAGGGAAGATTTCAAATGGCATCAGCTGACTTAGTCTCTCATCTTAAACCTGTGGGTCTGTTTCTGTTACACACAGCACACAATATATCCTTGGCTGTGATTTGTGTTCCCTTGGTGCCCCACTTGAAAACATGGAGATAAAAATCACAAATAATGAGGAGGAAGATTATCTACTCTGCCTATTGAAACCCTGAGGATTTTGATGACTAGGAATGAAGGAAATGGAAAGCAAAGGCAATACATGAGACACAATTCAAACAGTTGTATTGTTTATGCGTATTTGAAAAAAAAAAAAAAAGAAAGAAAAAGAAAATAGAGGAAAAAGCTGGCACATAACTCAGAGAAGACTGAAGAAGCTCCTACTTTCAGCTCCTCTATTCTGAGTTTATATGAACAACTATTAGAATGGTAATCACAGATCAAATACACAGAGAGAAGGGTGGGTTTGCTCCTCTGCCAGAGCCACTCTGGTGTTTGCCAGATGTGCAGGAAAGAGACAAATCCATTATGGCTCTACAAGCACACAAGGATGTCCTTGTGAGGGACACAACCCCCTGTCCTGCTGGTAAAGATTCCTCTTTGGCTTTCACATCAAATGCTGCCTTTGCAGGAGCAAAGACCAGTGGGCTCAACAGCAGAGGTGTTCATCAGCCCAGTGAAGGAATGGAAGATGGAAAACACATATTTTGTTCAGTGGCTGGAGCTGCTCCCTAATGCATTGAAGAGGAGCCCATTGAATTCAGGACCATCTGCCAGCACCAACCACGAAGAAAATTTCCTGTTGCTCCCCTCTTTTCACAGGCTTCTATAAACAGATACACCAGCAAAAGAGAGAGGCAGTGAGATGCAAATGAGAAGGAATCAGAAGGATTTCAGGAGAACAGACAGACTTTCACAATGTCTAAGCTTAAATAAAGGCAATGCTTCATTCAAGATGGCTAATTTCGTAATTACTGTTGTGAAGACCTGAGCACCTCTCTTGTGACATTTAGGTGCACAGCATAGTGACAAAAGAAGTTACAAAAAGCCCAATGATATTGATGGGGAGTAAATAATTTCCTAGTGTTACTGCAATTGATCCATTAGTATTCAAGGAAATCAATATTTTTATTAAAACATATTTTGGAAATCTAATCTGTGGTAAATAACTACACTTGGGTGAAGCATAGAAGGATAGCAGACTGCTAAAAATGGCAGCTCTGTATTTGCTGGGTGACTTTCTATTTTTGCAGTTTTTCACTTTTTCTTTTCTCTGTTATAACATTTTAGAGTAATTACTTTAAAAATTAGATTTACACAAAGATAAGAGTTCACATTTTGTAATACCATAAGTATTGGGATGGCCTGTCTGGAAATAGATTTAGATTATGACAGTAAGTGGTCCAAATAATACATGGCCAAATAGGTGGGGATTTTTGGTTTGTTTTTTTTTTTTTTTATTTTAACTGAAATAGACAAATTGCACAAAACACATTGTGATGGAAGAGGATCACAAATAACATAATTTTTCAGAACATCAGAATGACTGACAAAACAACTGCCTGAGCTTCAATCATGTAAAATCCAGACAAAATAGTCAATTACAAGTATTGTAATTACTCTGAAGGTACTGCAGTTGTTCTGTGGTGCACACAATGCCAATTATAGGATGATGTTTCTGTCAGTTGCAAACTTTAGAAAAAAATAAAAGTATTGAGTTAAACTTAGAGCATGGTACTATGGTTATACCTGTTTCAACAAAGTGTAGTTGGATCCATCAGTGCTAATTTTTCTTATCTCATGATGATCAGCCAGAATTAAGAAAGGTTCCTCATCTAAACCCCGGGAGAAAGAATATATTAGACTAGCTTTTACGTTAATTTATGGAAAATCAGGAATACAATGCTGAAATACAGATGGCTTGAAAAATAAATGTTACATGCTCTGATCAATGTTATGGATGAAAGAAATATTTAAAACATTCAAATGCTCCAAGAAAGATCAATGATGCAGTATAAAAATGAACAAAGCAATCAATTAGTATATATTTCAATGCAATTTAATTCTTTTGCCTTTGTAATATGGGAACCACACTGTATTTTAACATAATTTAATGTCAGATTAAATGGGAGATAGATTTCATTCCATATGTTTTAATTTCAACTTAATTTTAACTTTCAGTTTAACACTGACTACTAATTATGGTTGCAAACGAAGCATGTTTTGACCATTGCTTTTTCAGATTTCATTAGTCTGAATGGTACAGTGAGAAAGAAACCTACTCATAAAAACCTTGATTGTTTAAGTTTGAACTGAAGCCAGATTTAACATAGAGTTACCCTGGCTTTCTAGTTTATAAAAAATATTTACTTTCAGATACTCATTCATAAAATCACTGAAACATCTCTGACACTAACATACATAACTCTAAAAATATTTTTTTAAGGCTGTCTTTATTTTAGCTCTATTGAGAGACACCTCAACTAAAAAAAAAAATAAAAAGATTACCAGAGATAACTAAAAATGTATTAAAGGCTTTGTATCTTTGCTCTTGCACTCTAGAATGTAATGTGTTGTCCAGCCTACTCTGCTCCTGTACTGAACACATTTGCATGTTATAACAGAGTTGCAGTTTCTATTTTTTTTTCCTGTTCCTCCTTTTCAGATGAGGAAGTTTGATGTAGATTCTAATATTCTAAAGGTGATGAAATCTTATCATAACCATGCTATTTTCATCTGACTCAGAAGCAGAACTAAGCGATGTATTTTAACTTTTCTAATACTTTTCCTAATAAAGTTAATTATTCACGCTTTCAAAAACCACTGTATCTATTTATTACAAATGAACTGAGGGAAACACAGACTAAAAATATAACTTATTATTGCATTCAGACACAGTCACCTTCCTATTTATATTAAAAAAGTAGCAGATTTAAAGTAACTGTTTTTATCTTGCATAGAAAGGTACCACAGACCTCAGGGCTAAGTTTTTTTTCCCACAAATTATTTGGATACAGCTGTGGATTACAAAAACATTAAATAGTAATACCTGAAAGGGATTTGCAGCCATTTGGGTTATCAGGCTGTGTTTCATACCCTTCTGCACACAAGCATTTGTAGGTTCCGTAGGTATTGATGCATTGCTGGCTACAGGGAAATCCAGATGAACATTCATCAATATCTACACAAGTTTTGCCATCATCCTTCAGGAGAAATCCAGGCCAGCATTTGCACTGGGAAAGAAAACCAAATACATTCATTTTTAATTCTGTTTATCACCTGTGTGTACTTGCTTCTGAATATGTTAGTGTCATAAACTTTTTATGCATCTCATTTTTTCAAGTAACATCCTAATTACTTTGCTGCTTGTATGGTTTACAGGAGGCATGCCTACTTTTATTGTCAAATATTGCTGATGTGATCCTAAGCACTATTTCCTCCATAAAAACCCAAACAAAACCCTGTAGAATGAGTAATTATCCTTTCTACTTTAACTGAAGAAAAAGTAAAGCACAGCTTTTCAAAAATATAGAAAGGATTTTTTCTTGAAAACAATGATGGATGGACCCTTTGGAGATCTTAAGTTTCAATTATACATGTGTTTTTTGGTAAAGATAGACAGTTTTTAACTATTTTCCTTGGAATCATTGATACCACCTAGCAATCTGTGTAATCAACACAGGAATGTGAATGAGAGCTCTTCAGGCTGATTAGGAGCTGGACATGGACAATTCTTGCAGATCCCTTCTAACTCAGAATATTCTCTGTTTCTCTGACATTTATTTGGGTCTGATGATGATCCTGGCAACTTTACCACACGCAATGTGAAAGGTGCAAAACACAAGTGGGCAGAGGGATTTTGACAAAGGGGCATAAATTTTATCTACACAAGACTTCCTGCCATGTTCCCTCCTATATTCTCTATTTCTCTCTGCAGAGATCCAGAACATGCTTTCTCCACCTCTTCAACAAGGTTTTTGTTGAACCCAACAGCTCCTGAGTCTCTGTCTCAACCCCCACACTTCCAGAGGATTCAGTACCTGCAGATCTAAGCCATGCTGCACAAATTTTATTTAGTTCTCAGTGGGCCAATGTTCAGCTGAAAAGATCAAACTTTTGATCAGTTTGATCAAAAGTTAAGGAGGGCAGTTAAGGTTACTTCAGAGTTAAAACCCTGAAAAAAGTCTGTCTTCTGTTTTTAGCTGCTGTTTACAGGCTACTGCAGGCTGCTCCTGTCTACTTGTCAAGGCGAAAGAGCAGATTCAAACAGCATCCTCACATGCAGACAATGAACAGTTTTATTCTGCTACTAAGGTGATATTACTTTGTTTAAATATTTCTGTAAGAGTCTCTGTCTTGGGAAAAAAACAAAACAATGGAGAAAACCACTATTTCTGCTGTTCATTCCTATGTATTGTAAAATTTTTACTCATTGATTTTCAGTGTTCTGTATACACCAGTATGATTTGTTGCATTTAAAGCACCTTTCCATAGGTTTAAAATATGTACTGTACCATTTTTTAAATACAATTGGCAATTGTTTGCTTACAGGAAATGAAAATTTTAATGTTCTTATTTTGGCATGTAAGCTACTTCACTACAAAGAGATACCACACAGTAGGGATTTATTATAATCATGCAGTAGTTAAACACTTGAGAGCTAAAAACTTGCATTATATTAAACCACATTTTGCAATTTTTCACCTTGTATCCAACTGGAAGGTCCTGACAATCTTGGGAACAGCCACTGACTTTCTTACTGAGGCATTCATTAATGTGGCAGCTTTTCTCATCAGACCCATCACTGCAATCTTCTTTGTTATCACAAACCTCATTTTGAGGAATGCACTTGCCATTTTTGCACATAAAAAAAGAGCTGTTACATGACTGCTCTGGAAAACAAAAAAAGAACACACAACTTGGTGTCATCTCTTAGTATTTGGGATTAGTTTTCTCATGGATCAGCTGCTGGGTGTGTGCAAAAGGAAAAATTGTATAACAATTCTTTATTGATAGTTTTATAATAACTTCTCACTTTTCAATGTCTTTGAAGGTTATTCCTCTCCTGGAAAAATGGGTGAAGACATCAACTTATTACTCCCTCCTACATATTTTTTTTCATATAATGGAGAACCCTCTACATAATCTCTGCACAAAATACACTTCTAATTTCCAAAAGTTAAAAAAACTCATGCGTTCTCCCCTCTGTGTGTGCCGAGGTGTTTAGGAACACAGCTGGCTGAATTCCAACGCATTCCTTATCTAATGACCTGCAAATATGTTCTTCGTTGTTTGGCAAAACTTCAATGCATCATTTCAGCTACATTCAGATCCTCCAAATAGCAACTGGAACATTTAAATAAATATAAGGTGGGTGTGCTGCCTGGGTGTGCTGCCTCACCTCACAGCAGATGAGTGTTTTCCATCAAAACTGGAATAAAGAACCAGGCTACAGAGCAATGAAGACAGAAGAACTGGTCTTTCAAAAAGCCACAGACTAGAACAACAAATGCAGACCAGAACTAATTTCCCTCTCAAAAACCAATCAGACCTCATAAAAATTATTAATGTAAGAAGAAAATATCAATAAAACCAATAGCATTGGGTCAATAATTTACTAAAAAAAAAGTGTTTATTATTTATAGTGGGAGCAACTTTATATCCCCTTTTATATGAACTCCTTCTGTGTGATGAATATCTGGAACACAATAACCATTATAGGAGCAAGCCAAAAACTTTGGAAATTACAATATTAATATAATCTTATTTTAGCATCAACAGGAGTTATGCATTAAGGAAGTGTCTGCAATTTTATGCCATAGAAACTGGTGGCTTGGACTTTGTAAACTGAAGTTTTGGATGCTCAGAACAATTTCTCCTTGCAAGACATGACCAAAATCACCATGAAAGCACCAGAAATTTAAGGTATGAGGTTTTACATTTGCTGACTTAGGACTCTAAACCATCGCTCTCAGAAAAGAAAGGTCAGACGCGTTTTTCCAAAAATTACAAACCTGAACTTTTGCGCTTGGCGCAAAAAATTACAAACCTGAACTTTTGCACTTGGTGTTGATAGGGGCTTCATCAGAGTGGTCTGGGCAGTCAAAGTCCCCATCACATTGCCACTGGGAATTCAGCAGGCAGCGCCCGTCAGCACAGGTGAACTCTCCAGGACGACAGCGACGATACCCTACAAAACCAGCAACCACTCACCTCAGGCTTGCTCCCATAGTTTCAACATAAAATTCTGCATTTTTGAACCAACACAAATAAAATTATTTTTTGCTCCATCTAGAGATGCTAAGTGTTGTGCTCATACACCAGCAAAGAGAGAAATCAAAATAAAGAAATCTATAATATACAGATATTTTCTAGCTATTTTCTCTTGTGGTTCTCATTTCTGGAGAAAATTTAAGAGTAAATAACCAATACAGATTGTAACAGCAGAAAACCAGGCATGATAATCACCAATTTGTCATTTTGAAGGGGATATTTTCCATAAATATTCCATAAATATCATTTACATAGATTAATGTTTCTGAGTATGGCCCAGATACATTGTACAGACAATCGGAACATACAAGAAACCCTAAATTCATGTGAATGGTGAAAACTAAACATTCACATATAGTTATAATTGATATAATTTAAATGCAGTGATAATCATGATAGATGTGTTTAATTTTTTGATAGAAAAAAACCCCATATATGGAGACACAGGCAAAAATACATATAATAAAGATAAACTTATTAAACAATAAACTCTAGGACATACTTTTAAAATTCTTCTAAATATTATTAGCAATCAACTGGAAGACTTTATGGAAAACAATTTGTCACTGTAGCCTCAGATCCAAGTTAATTCCGAGCTGTATTAATTAATGCATAATTTAAAAGTGAGAATGAACACAATTTTAAAAAAAAAAGAAGAGTTTTCTTTTTCAATAATGCCTTAGAGTAGCAGGCCCTGAAGAATGCCTTACAGTTAGCAGTGTGAAATTGTTTTATTTACTCTATTTTTTGTTATACTTGCCACATTCCAGGGATTCATCTGATCCATCTCCACAGTCATCATCGTGGTCACAAACAAACTGTTTGGGAATGCAGACTTTGTTATGGCACATGAAAGCATTCTCATCACAAGTGTTATTGGGAGCTAAGGAAAATACAGCACATAAAATAAAAAAAAAAAGAAAGAAATTCAGAACAATCAGATAAACAGACGATTTTCTTACACAAAGATGAAATGAGAAGTGAATTTGAGGGAATTCAATGGAAATAACCATAACTTTTTAGTCAGATAAAAAGCATCACACAATTCAATACCAGAAAAAGCTATTTATCACAAAGAATGCTACAGAAGTAAAGATAGCTAAAATCTTCTGTAATCCAAGAAAGAAAAGCTTCAGAAGTCAATGCTGTCTATGACTAAACTAAGGTCTGGCTCTGAAGAAAAGAATATTTGGGAAAAAGAGATGTCCTTATATTGGTCTGCTCCTGAACAAATGCTCTCTGAAGTCCACAAACACTCAAATATATAGAATACACTTATGTACCATTTTTATGTATTAATAAAAAAAAAAACCCCTCCAATGAAACTGTTACTGAACTCCTGACACTGTTCATGGAAATGCGTCTCAGGAAGACTGGAAGTAACATTTTATAGGGCAAGAGATGCCAGGATCTGAACAATTAGCCAGAAAAAACTGAAGACAGAACTTGCATCTCCCTTCTTGATGCGCAACCTCCTTGACATGAGCAGCAGCATTTTCTTCAGGAAGAGCAATAAAACTGCAGAGTCACTGAAGTGCTGATTTTCACCAGTCAACACTGCAAAATGCCTGTGGCATGCCACACATCGTGATCTCCAACTGGGCTGCCTCGCTGTGTCAGCCTGAGTAAAGCTGTGAAGGATCCTCTCCATGTGCTCACACGTGGGTCAGCACTCTTCACCAGCAAAGTGGACATGAAAACAGCATGAAATAGCATGAGAATAACATTTTTTTGGACGTGTAAACCTACCACAGCCCGCTGTGGAGAGCTCATCGCTTCCGTTGGGACAGTCGCGCTCCCCGTCACAGAGCCAGTGCTGGGGCACGCAGGCGTGGGAGCCCAGGCAGCTGAAGGTGTCTGCAGCACATGTCACTGAGCCTGGGGACACATGGCAGGGAAGCCCTCAGCACTGAACCATCCCAAATCCCCAGCTGGAATACCCTAACCCATGTTTGTATGGTGACTGGCAATGATTAGAGGGGTTTGTTTTAAAGTCTCAGTGATTATTTCATTCTGTACATTATGATAAACCTACTGGCTGGGATCATTTTATAGGAAAATTTTCACAGAATTCACAGAATCACTGGGTTGGAAGAGACCTTCATGATCCAGTCCAACCCAACCCCAGCACCTCAACTAAACCCTAGCACCCAGTGCCACATCCAGGCTTTGTTAAACACACCCAGGGATGGTGACTGCACCACCTCCCTGGGCAGCCATTCCAGAACTTCATCACTCTTTCCATAAAAAACTTTTTCCTAATATCCAACCTAAATTTCCCTTGGTGCAGCTTGAGGCTGTGTCCTCTGTTTCTGTCAGTGCTGTCTGGAGAAAGAGCCCAGCCCCATCTCACTAAAACCACAGGGAGACCAACCCCACCTCACTAAAACAGCTCTCAGGGAGTTGTAGAGAGTGATAAGGTCACCCCTGAGTCTCCTTTTCTCCAGGCTAAACAACCCCAGTTTTTGACCATCTGCTGTTTCTTTCATTCTTTTCATTTATTCAGCCTCTTAAATTCCCCACAATTCGTGGAAACTACCCAGCAGAATAACTTTTCAGGCCAGTTTTGGTCAGTAACTTTGGCTGCACATTTGGACTGACCGGACACAGGAACTGATCTTGCAAACCACATATTCCCTGCACCACCAAAGTATGCCAGGAAACCAAAGGCACTCCAAACTTTTGTTAATCAGTCCCACAGAGAAGAAAACAATGTGTATCAAGTACAACAGTAGTGGGAGCAAAAAATATCTGACAGCTCTGATCCAACTAACTCAACATATTATTCATCTGACTAATTTTTTTTTCTGTTTTTTTAGATAATATTATACCCTAGGGTTATAAGCTTCCTCCATTTGGAAGTAAATCTTAGAAAAACCAGTATTTTTTAAACATGAAGTTCAATTCCAGAAATATCAAAAAATGGCAAATGAGTGTAAGTAAGCAAAAGTTGTTTCTTTTGCATAAGTAAGATAGAAAATATATTTTTAAAATATTTTAATATTTTATTAAATTCCAATTAAAACTAGTAGAAAATGTGCTGTTTCCATTTTAGTGGAGTATTTTTGACTTATCTAAGAGGGAATAGAAGAAAGAGCTAGAAAAAAACCCCAACAAACTTAATACAAAAGTACAATAACTTTAGGGTCTTTGAGCACCTGGCACTCTAAAACTCAAACAGGGGTTTTACATCAAGGGTAGGAACTGGAGAACGGGCTGGCTGTCCTTTTACCCAGTTTGCCATTCCTAACTTTACTGATAATGATGCCTTAAGTTTTAGCTTATTTTTCAGATTCTGTACTGTCTCAGTGTGTGACTCAGAACTTCATATGAAGTGTTACTAAGTTCTCTTCACAGCTTAATCAGACAAAACAATCCTTTTCTAGCCTGAGAACCAAGGACACCATTGCAGCTTCAGGCCCAAAAAGTGTAAAGGATTTAGTCAGAACAAACAATCCTTTTCCAGCCTGAGAACCAAGGACACCATTGCAGCTTCAGGCCCAAAAAGTGTAAAGGACAGCAAACTGAGGAGAGCAAACTGAGAGGATGAGACTTCATAACCTGAAGCTGTGATTGGACAATTGACCCCAATATGTAAATGCACCAAAACTTAGAAAAGTGTGGAAACTCCTGACTGATTGTCCATTTTTGTGACCATTTCGGGTCCATCTTGGGCAGAGACACAGCAAGGCTCTTGCACTGCCCAAGGTGTATCCTTTGAAGGCCTTTTAATAAATACCTACTTCATTCCTTTAACTCTGTCTAGACTCTGTTCCAGGCCAGACTCTTTAAGCATCAATAGAATTACACAAATTGTACAGCTCCCATAAAAAGGAACCTATCTTCTGGATCCCTCACACCCTTTGGAGATTCTGTCCTTGTTCCCCTCCCACCCTCTCCTTGGATTGGAACATGTGGCCCCCCTCATTCTGCACGATCTGACCCAACCCAGAAATTAAAAGATCCAACTCACCACAGATGGCATCGCTCTCATCTAACCCATCTCCGCAGTCGTCCTCACCATCGCAGGTCCACTGCTTGGAGATGCACTTGTTTGCAGAGCAAGCAAACTGATTCCAGGAGCAGGACGAATCTGGGGATGACACCAGGCCCTGCATTTGTTAGGTTCACAATGTCACTGCATTCCCTGCCGTTTCAAGCACAGTTTAGGGTTTTTTGCACCGCTCCTTTCTCTCCTCCCAGTTTCCATGTATTAAAACGCTCCAAGTCCATACAATCCCAATCTTGTTATTCAGCATATTATCAGTTTGTCCAAGAGTTTGCATTCAGCAACATATTTTTAAAAGTAAACAGTGAAACATTCCAAAAGGCATTCCAACATTTTCAAATATTTTTTTAAGTTGGATGAGGATAAACACTTAAAAAACCTGAAACCTTGTTTGCATATTTAACAGATGCTACAACTACAGTGAATTGCTTTATTTGGGTAGCAGGACAGAGAGGGCACAGATCAAATTTTCCAACCCAGCCTTCCTCCTGGTGTTCCAGAAGTTAACTCCATCTTTAAAAGATGTAATGTTATTTTTTCTCACAAGAAAAATTTCTGTGTGTTTGCTTTATCCCATTTACACTTTTCTATAGATTGAAAATAAGAGCTCAGCTTCTACATTTCAAAATCAGACTGCAAAACTGTCCTAAATCAATGATATTCTTTTCTGAAAAATTCAGGTATTGCATTTTTCCCAGGCTTCTTTCTTTAAGAATAAAGTTTATTTTGCTGCAACTGATTTTGATGACAATAAATTTTAATATTAACATTAAAAAGAATTTTAGGTATTAAAATCTGAATTTAAAGGAGAGCACTGTAACAGGTATCTCAAAATGGGAAAGAAGCATTGACTTAACCCCCTTCCCTTTTGCCCACAAAAATCAGCTAATTCAGTTTACAGTATTGTACAGAAGAGTATAACACCTGGAAATTTAAACACCAAGTTATGCTTGACAAATGTGGCCAGCAAAAAGGACTCTGATTGTCACAGTGCACAGCACTTCCTAATTTCAAAGTTATAAGATAAAAATATACAATAAAAACTGCAAATCAAATATGGAAGCATGTCAGTGGGAACTGGGTCATGAAGAGAGTAATAAAATAAATAATAAGTAATAAAATGTTCAGTCATGGTAAGAAGTAAATGAAAAAAACCACAAAAAAACTGAAAAAAGCCCCAAATTTCAGGTCTTATTTAAATTGGGAATAGAAAAATTTGACACTGCTCTCTGGTACAATTTCATGACAAAAATAATCCATTCAGGTAATCTATACAAACTGAAAAATACAGTTCTCATTAGGAGTAAAACCAACCTGCTCTTTACCTCAATTAGGTAAAATTTAAGAATGTGAAACGATCTGAGACAGAACAGACCCTTAACCCAGTTCACAGCTCATGCTGTATTTTATTTACATCACTTTTGTCATTACTTTAAACAATTATATCTGTATCGCCTCTGATGCAAAGCAATGCTGACTTTGAGGTTTGGGTATTTCCTGCTGGGCCCCAGACACTGATTCAAATTCATTCTTTCTGTAAAACTCTTTTAATGAGGAGTTGTGAAGAATTAGTGGAATTGTTAAATATTCAATGAATAGAAAACCCTGTATATAAATACATCCTTAAGAGAAAAAAAATAAATTAAAGGGCTTTCATTCTGGCACAAAATAGAATTTAAGGTATTGGCAGCATGAAGTATTAGAGTTGAATCTGAAAACACAGCATTAAAGACGCTTTTATAGAATCTCTGAGATATAAATGCACACTTTGTTTCCAAAGTGCATTAGTGACTAGAGAAATACAAATAAGACAAAATGCTCACCACAGTGCAATTCATCTACTCCGTCCTCACAGTCTTTCTGCCCATCACAAAGCCAGGTGGTCAGAATACATCTTCCACTAGGACAACCAAAATAATTTTCTTCACATGTGGGTTTGTTTTGAACTGTGATAAAATAAAGAATGTAATGTAAAATGGTCTCTACTAGTATGATTAGGAGCCTAATACATTTCTGCTAAATTTCTGAATACAGATGGACAAAGTGTTTATGTCTAAAAATGGAAAAAAAATTGTGTTAATAAAAAAAAAGTGATTGCTAAGTAGTTTAGGGAGTTGAAATAGCAATTTTTTATTTTTTTCGGAGAAGAATCAGAGCACAGCTTCAAACTAAATCAAAAGGCCTAGAGAGGAAAGTAGCTCAGTTTACAGGTTTTGAGGTCAGGCAGGTCAGCATTGCTTGTTGTTTTACACAAGCTGAAGAAATTGCCCTTCTGAACTTTCTGCTGTCATTTACAAGATAATCTAATTGTGGCAGTATTTTTGTCACTGGGAGAAGCCACAAATCTCATCCATGCACTAACAGGAGCTAAACCAGTGATGCTGGAGCCAGAGGTTTAGACTTGGCCAGAAATTAAAAAGTTCTCCCTTGTCTTTTTAATTTTGTTGAGTCAGAAAGTAATTTAAAATTTGACGTTTATGAATGATTAAGAAACCAGGAGTGAGGAAAGAAAACATGCCACATGCAGAGTTTCATGATGCAAGCAAAATATTAGTCTAATAACAGCTTATTTTCAAAATTTTAAGCAAGGTCCTGGGAAAGCCCAGGATTGAATTCCAAGCACTGGAGACCACTGAAGCTCTCTGCCATGGTTTTCATTATTCCTTCAGTGTATTGGATTTGTTTTCAGCCTCCTCTCTTTTAAAAGGAAAGGTAAAGTAAACATTTATGGCTGCTACAGCTGTATGAATGAAAAAAAAAACAAAAAAACAAAAACAAAGACTAAAGAAAGAAGTGGAACATCTGTGATGACTTGGTAGATATTAAGGATTCCCTAAGCAAAGCTAACCTCCATGAGTATTTTGCTGTAATTTTCTGTAAGAACAATGACACTGAACCAAACTGCTAATGGGAATTACAATATTCATAACAGAAACAACACTCAAAAACTTAATGTGCCAGAGCTGGTCAGTTTTGAATGAAATGGCAAAGGAAATCACATGTAGTCTGAGTGGGAATGGTATTGCTTCCAAGTAAAGGGAGGAATGATCCAGGCAATTAGTCACACATTAAAATGATGGAACATTTTGGCACACATTTGGAATTCAGAGAGAAGTAATACAAATAAATGGACAATGGAATAAAATGCACATTAGTGTACTTATGCAACATTAGTTTACCAAAGCTGTAGCACACTGCTCTCAATATTTTCCTTGGTATGGGAAAAAAAAAACCCTTTCTTTGTCTAAAAACACAGTAAATTAAACTATTTTGACCTTAATGAAGTGTTATATACAATAAATTCTTCATAATTAAGAGATAATCTAGAGAACATGGAGATTAGAATGAAAACCCTAACTTAATATGCATCTATTTTATAGGACTAATGGAAGTTCTTAAAGACAGGTTGGCTGACTATTCTGCTGAAGTCCCAGGTTCCTCTGGATCCTGGTAATATTTTTGTCAATAAATTTGGCACAATGCATATGAGAATTCTAATAGAACCTTCTGGTGACACAACAGGTTTATCATACAGATAAAGAGAATATTAAATAGAAATAATCAGATTATGTCCACTACTATGCAAAAATTTGATGGCATTGAACAACAAAAAATTAAAAGTTTTAATTTTACAAATGAATAAAATTTATTATCTAGTAAATATTTATTTTTATTTAACACTAGTTCCTAGAGGAAAGAGAGTTACTGGTCAACAGGAGGTTAATTTCAATCTAGAATGAATCAATTATAAAAACAAATAGAAACAAAAAATGTTTTCATTTTGTATTTAATATTCTCAAACTCAGACGAGGAGTTCTGGATAAAAATGGAGCAAACACATAAATGCCCTCCTTCATTAGGTAAGAATCAAATATTATGAATAATTCATTGGTTAACATTAAATAGAACTCCAGTCCTGTGTCTGGGCTCAAGTTGTCATGATCCCTTTCTCCTGGCTGCTATCACAAAAGCAATAACCCTGGATTCTACCCTGGCAGCCTATTCCAAGGACTTCCACCAAATAAAAGAGAAAGTAAAACAAGTCAGCAAGAAAAGAAATACCACCCACTAAAGCAGCAGCTAATAAAAGTTTCTGAGTGATTATGCTGATGCTTGATGAGCTTGACATTTTAATGACTTGTGTTTTACTTAAATAAAAATGATAAATGACAGGCCTAACCTGGAGAAAATGGAAAGCTAGACATTACAGTTTGCTTCAGAAAAAAGTCAGTATTCATTTGTAATAATTTGCATAATCCCAGGAAACACAAAATAAAGGTGAATAAACTGCATTCAGCATTGTAATAATCTCTATGTTAAATAAATCAGTATTGACCAAATAAACATTTTGCAACACAATGAGAAACACTCTGTCTCCCCAGATAGGACTTTTTTTCTTTGTTTAAAAGGTAAATTAATGTTTTGTGTTTGGTTTTTTCAAAACTTTTTTTACAGTTACCTGGGCATTTTAATTCATCTGTATAATCTCCGCAGTCATTAGACCCATCACAAATCCATTCTGGCAGTATACAGAGAGAAGTGGAATTGCAGCTGATAAATCCTGAAGACTTTATCCCAAGTTTATAGAAGTAAGTACAGTTTGTATTATCTGGAAAGAGACAGAAAATTACCGCACACCTAACGCAGCCTGAGAGCCTCAACGTTTAATTTTCACGTGGGGCTGGAGGAGCCCGCGCAGGTGTTGGAATCCCAAACAGCAACACCCAGGAATGAACTGCTCCATAACAAGGAATAATCAGGGAGCAGCTGCTGGGAGGGAGCACGAACACAAACTCACTGCAGTTCTTTTCATCCGAGGCATCTGCACAGTCAATGATCTGGTTGCACCGCGCCGATTTCCCCACGCAAACCCCATCTGCACAGCGGAATTCTGTCGGGGCACACGACGAGTCTGCAACATATGGTTATAAAGGATGTAAATTTGTGTGCTAAACACACTCTTCAGATGCACATCAGACACATGATGATGCTTAAGCCTTCTGCCTTCCAGAATGAGGCATTCAGAACACACTGTTCCTTCCAGCAGACACATGATTTGCAGTTTATTACACCTTAAAAGTTGCTAATTTTTTAATTTATTTTTTAGCCTAAAAGTGACTCTAGGTAATTCAGTTCATTTTGAGATAATCAAGTGTCCTGGTTTTGCACGATTGCAGATTTCCCCAGGCGGCTGCTATTCATGAAAAAAAATTGTGAGCCATGAGAGAACTGTTTTTTTCTTGTGGAGAAGTCTCCACAACCTTAACAAGAGGGACTTCTCTCCCTAAGTGAACTGAAGAAAGATTTTTCTAGAAGTGGTAAACTTACTGAAATTTTAGGTTTGGTTTCTTTACATTGTCAGTGGGAAAGAAAAGTTTGTGGGGGGAGGAGAAGTGTTCTGAAGGTTTTGTTCTGATTCTTATTACTCTTTCTTCTAGTTACTGTTAATACATTTTTCTTTATAACCTTTTAAAGTTTTGAGCCTGCTTTGCCTTTCTCCTAATCCTATCTCACAGCTATAAATTTTTCTTTATAACCTTTTGAAGTTTTGAGCCTGCTTTGCCTTTCTCCTAATCCTATCTCACAGCAGCAAGTGAGTGCAATGGTGATTGGCCAGCACTGAACCCACCACGCTCATTGGTGCATTGGCCAGGAAATCAAAATTGACGAAATCCCAGATTGGCAAACCAAAACCACTACAAGAAATTGGTGTTTCCACCTGATTTTGAACTGAAACCACCACATCATCATCTGAGGGAGAAAGAAGCATTTTCAGGATCATCCATGAATCTCAGGTTTATTTCTTGTAAAACCAGCTTGGGGTTCTTACCTATATGTTTTTCGCTCCACTTATATCTAGATAAATGATTAAAAATAATTTGATGCCTTCAGAAAATGCTTGTTACTACAGCTACTTAGCTTTTAGCTATAAATCACGTGGAATAATATCCCTGCCAACCCTTCTGAACTGTAGCTAAGGATTTGTATGGTCTGCTTGCTGGTCTACATGCATTGGATATATATGCATATATCCATTGCACGGATATAAATATTCATATTAAAAGACATAAATCAAAAAACAATTCTGATATGAAGAGGAAAACAATTCTAGCAAGAATTGCAAAGGACATGGACATGGTCACGCATTTGGGAAGCGGAGAAATATAGCATTTCCTACTTCAGAGAAGAAGCACATACAGAGAAGAAATCACCATCTTTCAAGCTGTCTGCAGTAAAGTGACTCTCTCATTATTTCGCAGAAGATACAGAATCTGTATTTTATATTTTACACATATAAAACATAAAATATTACATGTATAATGCACATGTATATTTTATAGTCAAAACCACTGTACTTCTAGAAGACTGTAGGTGCAAACCAAAATCAGCCTTTGCATCAATCCCATCATTTGATTAAATCACACGTTATTTTCCAGCTACTCCTATTTGCATAATGAGTATTTACAAAGCAATATTCTGAAATCACCTTGGAAATAAGATGCCATTTACCTTTGCAGTCAAATTCATCAGAGTTGTCACCACAGTCATTGGCACCATCACAGACTTTGTCACTGGGAACACAGCGGCGATTGGAGCACGGCTTGAAGCCCTTCCGACAGCCTCTGTTTTCTGCAAAGTTAAATAGCAGCTCATGATTGGATTGACACCTCATGAAAACAGCCTTACCCTCAATCCAAACAAACATTCCTCGGCAATATTTTAATTGGTGATGCATTCCAAGCTACAGGGGAAAAAAACAAAACTTCAGAAATCATTCATCCATTATGCAGCATAATGCAGTCCATAACTTGGACTGATATAGGGATAAAGAGCAATAACTGAAAGCATGATGAGGAAGAATGACAAAAAAATAAAAAAAATAAAAAGCATGGCCTGATTCCCAGCTTTCATTACCTTGGTACAAAATGCCCATATACTTTAAATGCATTTGTTTTGACACACTTGTTTGGGGAGAATGTTTGCATGTGGCATCACACAGAATGAAGCATATCAAATTTGGCCTAAACCAAAACAGGAATAAATGGAGAATAAAATAACAACAAATATTTGCAGAGAGGTTTCTGGATTTCTGAGCACCAATACCAACAGCATTCTGCTCAAGAACACTATGGAAGAATGTATTAATTTTACATATAATTATATGTTTGAAAATTCAGGACTGATTTACTAAAGCCCTAATTATTGCAGAAGTCACAATAATATTGTTCACTGCATTGGTTATTCAAAATAATGAGTCCAGCACTCTGTTCTTTATCAGATTCAGAAAGCAACACCCTGTATATGACCCAGTGCATGAAAGGACCCCAGTTCTTCCTGTTTTTTTCTCCAGTGTGTAGCAAAATATTTGGTTGATTTAAATGAGGCAAAATGTTCATTGTCACACTGCAAATTAATAGAATGTCCTTCATAAAATTATGTGGCAAATCCATGGACAGACAAATGGCTTGTTCTCAGAATCACAGAATCATGGAATGGGTTTGAAGGGACCTTAAAAATCATCTCCTTCCACCCCAGGCCATGGCAGGGACATCTTCTGCTATCCCAGGCTGCTCCAAACCCTGTCCAACCTGGCCTTGGACACTTCCAGGGATGGGGCAGCCACAGCTCCTCTGGGCAACAAATCTTGTATTTATAAATCTATTTATACATTTAATAGCTAGAATTCATATATTTTACAATACTGTACAATAAGGTATCTTCCATCTTTAAAAAAGCAGTTAGCCATGGTTTTCCTTATTTTTGCTCTAGAGACAGGAACATGAGAACATTTGAGATGCTTTTTATTAAATATGTCAGTTAATACATGAAGTTTGGAAGAAAAAAACATTCTCATTTAATTTCTTCTGGGTCATGTCAAGGTTTTCTTAATGTGTGTTGGCATTTTCTTCCTGGGCAGCTTGGCCGAGCAGTTGATGTGAATAAGAGGAAGCAAACTAAGTGTGTTTAACACCAAAATGACAACAGGAAGGTGAAAGATATGGAAATACCCACCACAATAGAAAAGTTTCTCATCAGACTTGTCCTTACAGTGAGCAATGCCATCACAAGTCAGCTGATAATCAATGCATTCACCGTTCCCACATTCAAACTCTGAATAGATGTTGCAAGTAGAATTTTTACCTAAAAATAAACCATGTTAACATGTAATTTTTAAAAGCTTTTACAACTAGTGAAAATAAGAAAACATGCTGGCTGCATTTCAATTTTGACCTACACGAATTTTGAAAACTTGAGTACAAAACAGTAAAACACACCATGGCATCAGAATTTAAAAGCCACTACAAAGAGAACCTGTAAAAGAAAATACATTGACAAATATCCATGAAGAAACATGCAGTGAAACAATCCACAAGCACTCATTTTGATAAGGTAAGAACTTGGGAACTACTGTGCTCAGCTTCCTTCTACTCACCCATGCCTTCCCATCCCTCAGCTTGGATTATACAGCCTAAACTCCAAGGCAGAAAACCTGCTGCTTCCATTTTACTTTTTTCTTTTATACACAAAAACCCTCCCCTTCTCATCTAGTGGATGATTTATCGATTATTTTAGAAAAGAACCAGGTGCACACATAAAATTTTCCCTCTTTTACTTAAGAAACAAAGACATTTCACAAATTGGATACAACAGTTTGGCCATGAACTTCAGGATAAGTCATACTTAGTGAGCATGATTCTAACCAAAACATCAAAGAGAAAGAAATGAGGAGCATTTAGGACAACTCAAGAAGAAGAACAATGGAGAAATTATATCCAATTGTTATGCTGCTTTCTTGTTTCCATTATAATCACTTCAGCAAAAATTCAGGAAGAACCAATGTCTGTTATATGCAATAGCCAAGCCAATATAAATTGAAAACATTTCTTGATTTGATTGAAACGTGAAGAAAAAGTGCTGAAAACAGATTCAGAACAAGGTGAGATCTGGTCTTGAAAATGATTTATTTAGTCCTTTACATTTGAAGCATTTTTATCTCTTTTCCCTCAGTTTTCTAGCACTGTAGGAACTTATGCAGAATAATTATCAATTGCATTTGTAGTTAATCTAGTTCAGCATCTTAGACTGCAATCTTTAGAAAAAAATAAAATAATAAAAGTATATATAATATAACCTGCCCTCAGTTTGAGTCTAACTGGACACACTTGTAGAGATTGCTTCAAACTCCATCTTGCAGAAACAAAGAATTTAAACGCCTTTCAAATGGTTTCTTTGATGACAAGTAAGTAGTCGGAGTAGTCATTACCCATATCATCATCTCTCCCTCTTAGAATTTCACTGCAGCTTTGTCTCAAGGCTCTTGACTGGCAGTAAGTTATACAGCCTAATTACATTGTGAAAGGACAGTTAATTCCTTTTCTCAGCTGGAATTGCTAACTTTCAATTTTATTGAGTATCACTTGCAGCTCTGTTATGAAGAAAAGAACTTTTGATCTCAAAGCTAAACTCTAGTCTGTCTTGTTTCCATCCCTTCTGTGTTACTCTACCCCATCATTTAATGTCTTTTTTTTTTTCCTGATAGCTGAGATCAACATTTCCTGCAAACACTCTACAGAATAATTTAGAAGATTAAATCTTATTTCATGTCCTAGATGATAATTTAAACATGGTTTTACCTAAGAGCAATTTTAAGAGTTGCGATGCATTTGGAAAATATAAATGCCATATAATTATAAAATAAATTGTTAGGCATTTGAATTAATCTACTGAACCTCTCTCACTTCCGCTGCCAATCACTGGTTTGTCAACATAGAGAGATAGGTGAGAAAGTGCTTTAATTAAGGTACAACTTCAGTAGCTTATCCCACATAACCCTAGGGAAGGATACATCCAGATACTTCTATCTATCTCAGCAGTAATTGTGATAAACATGTAAAAATCCCATTAATAGGAAACAGCAACCCACTACCATAATAGGAGTTTAAGGAGAGTATGAACATTTTTTAGCCCTCCAAAAGGCTTACAACACAAAAGAGTTAAAAGCTTGGTTGGTGGTGAATAGCCAGATTAATTTTTACAGTATACAGAAGAAATAAAATTAATGGCTTGGGCCATGTCCTATGAAAGCCAAGTGCCTCACAGCACAGAAAAGCATCGTGTCAGCCACCATTACTTACTCACACATCTGTTATCATCTATCAGGACTCTGTCCCCTCTGCACGAGCAGTTCACTCGTCCATCAGGCGTCAGAAGGCACAAATCATGGCAGCCTCCATTCATTTGTGCACAGGGAGATAACTCACCTGGAAGACAAATGACAAGAGATGAACTCTATTTTATTAAATTTGCTTCAGTGGCCAATGTCTTTGAGGGAGCAAAAGTCACCATATCTCAGATTCATGGGCAATTGATTCGGGTTTTATCAGTCAGATGAAAATGTCAACATCCCTCAGATGCTGGCATGCTAAAGATAAACAAACACCTGAAAAATAATAATTTAAAAAAACTGCAACATTCAAAACTGCAGAAATTTGACAGGAAAGTATTTAACTGCTAACCACTGAGCACAGTGCCCACAGCAGAACATTCTGAATAACACTTATTTACTTGCTGTCCTAGGTTGTAAGATATATCTGTGTTCTATTTGACATCTGTTAGAGGTGGGGCAGTTATCTTCTGTTCATTGGGCAGTTTTCTTTATCTCTTCCACAACCAATCCTCCCTCCAAGAGATCTCTTCCATTCATGGCCAGTGAGTGTCCCTGCATGGCTGATAAAATTCCATCAATCCCATTGGGAGAAGCTCTGCCCAGGGGAGGAGCCAAGCATTCCCACCTGGATACAATCTGAGCCTGGAACAGCACAGCAGCCTTTGGTCACTGCATTCCCAGAGGAGCAGCTTTGTTCTCCCCTGCATTCCCAGAGGGAGACCAGGCCCATCTACACCACCCCAGACCTTCAGAGGGAAACTCCCCCCTTGTGCAGGATCCCTGCTCCAGCAGAACCACAGCTGGCACTGCAGGAGGGCTGAGCCCCCATGGGATGGGACTGTGCCACCACCCTGACCCACAAGGTGTCAGGTTGTATTCTGACTCTGTAAGTGGTTTGTTTTTTTTTAGTTTTGTTTGTTTGTACTATTGCATTTGTATTTTAATTTTCCTAGTAAAGAACTGTTATTCCTATTCCCATATATTTGCCCGAGAGCCACTTAATTTCAAAATTATAATAATTTGGAGAGAGTGGATTTACATTTTCCATTTGAAGGAAGGCTCCTGCCTTCTTTAGCACACACCTGTCTTTTCAAACCAAAATACTTGGGAAAAAGTTATACCCCTTCTTTTCTTAATGAAAGAATTTATGAAACACCATATAAACTTTTAACTCGGCTAAAACTAAGCAAAATCCCTGAAATGAATGATATTGGTATTAGGAAAACTGCTATGTATCTTACAGCTGTTGGTGTCATTGGCAACAGCGATGATTCCCATGGGCTGGTGCGGGATGTCGGAGCGGAGAACTTTGGTGTCTCCTCCCGTGTATTTGCTGGAACGCAGGATGGCTCTCCTCACTCCATCTGACCAGAAGATGTACTCGTCATATACAGCCAGGCTGAGGAATGTGCCTGGGCCAGACTTGACAATGACCTAAAATGCAAAAGTGCAGAAAAGAAACAGGAGTGGAAGTGCTATCACTGAATGAGAGGATTTTAAAGTGCAAACTGTGACTCCCGTCACGTTTAGGCAAAATACTTAATACTTTTATACCTGAAGCACCTGGGGAAATGAGATAACAGCACTTAAAATGTGTTAAAAGGATGCCACAGGCATCAAATCTCAGAAAACCAGGCATCTGTTCCTTAATTAAAAAAAAAAACACAGTTTATCTAAATGTGCCTGTAAAAATACCTACTCAACACTTTACCTGCTTAATAGCTCCAACAGAAGAGAGAAGAGATTCTTTCAGCATGGCTGAAAGTCTAAAAATTCAGTCTTTAGGAATCAAAGTGAACTGAAGAGCTTTAGAACTGAAGAGTGCTCACCACATTATCACATTAGAAACTTGAACCCTAGGCAATAAATGTTTCAGGTTTCCCCATTCAGAAAAAATTACAATCTCACCATAGTAATAATTAATTTAAAACCTAGAAGGAAAAATGAATTGAAGATCACTATATAGTAAGGTTTGAAAAAAATTTCTAGAAATACAATGAATTTGATTCTAATCAAAACTACGGCTCCTGTAAAATATTTGCATATGTTCTTTCTTTCCATATATCAGAATTAAAAATCTCACATTTACAGTTTCCCTTCTGAAGAATATGATGAATTGATATCAGTTTTTTAGTTGAAAGTTGAAATTTTCGCTGAAGAGAATTACTGGAAGGGGGTTAACATTTCTTTATTAGATAATGGACATAAATAATACACTTCCTATTTTTATTGAATTGTACTCTAGGTTTCTCTGTGAAAAAATAGTAATTTATGTATATTTATGAAATGAGAACAGTTCTCACCCAGGCTATGGGGAGAAAAAAATCCTGTGTCTAAGTGCTACTTATCATAGGGCAATTGGGATAAAACTAGAAAAATAATATCCTTTAACATATGTACTTAGATCACCACGGTTTTCCATCTGCTTTGTGTGCTTTATCCCCTTTCCCAGAGGGAGTTTATAACTGCGATGATATTTCACGGAAATCTCCATGAATCAGCAATCCTTTGTGTTTGCAAGGGGATGCTGTGTGACAGCTCTTCAAAAAATGCTGGGATGAGAATGGGGCAGTAATACTCAATCCCATATTTAATTATTAAATAGCTCATTGTGGGTGTGTAGGAAGTCTTTCTCCACATAACAAATGCACCTACTATAGAGGACATCCAAATTTCATTTTGTGAAACAAAAGCTCCCAATTTTGATACTGCAGCTATGCCTTGGAGAATAAGAAGGTGTCTCAGTTCTGCAGGATTCAATGCCAAGGGAGGCTCCAGGTTTGCTCCCACCTGTGCCAGTTCAGGGTATCTCAACAACCTGCTAACATAAATAATTCTAGTCCTGTGCACAGGAGCATTCCTGTCCATGTTTAAATTCACTTTCACAGACAGAATGTCAAAATTGCTTACATTAATCAGATAATTATAACAAATTCTGCTTCACTATGTATTTATGCATATTTTAAAGAGGGTTAGACAGCAAATCATTTTACCCAGTAAAGATTTTTTCCCCATGATAAATATCCCAAGAGGACAACTTTTCTCTACCCAACATTTTTCCAGAACAAAAAGTATTAAAAGATAAATGGGAATAAATTAATGGCAAAAGATTTCTTCTCTAATTGTGCACATTTCCAGTAAGACACTTTTCATAATACACTCTTAAAAGCTTGCGGTATTAATATTCAGGCATTTCAGCGGGAAAAAAATTTAAAATCATATATGTTTCTGAAAGATCTTTGTGAAATATGGGCATGCAGACTTTGCAGCCCCATGTTCTTCTCTGTGATAATGTGAAACTGTCCCAGTTGGAAAGATTTTATTGTTAAAACCAAGACTAAAGCAATGCCCTGCTCAGCTTTTTGTGCTGGGGAGCACTGTCCAAATTTATCTGAGATTGTAACAATAGAATGCAAATTCACTACAGAAGTGATCATAGCTGTTCAGCCTTGGGAGAGCTGAGATCCAAATAGAGTGCCACAAAACCAAACGTTTTTTCACTATTGCTCATTGTATTTAATTTCCTGGAGTCTCTGTATTATGTCACATCCAAGGACATTGGTTTTATTCAAGCAACCAGAATAAAGACTTCATATTTCTATCAGCTTTTGGCCACCTTTACAGCTCATTGAAATTCTAGCTTATATAATAATACTGAAAGTTGGGACAATTTTTTATTTCTATTTTTTTAAAGTCTAAATTGATACTAAAACATGCAACAACACAAGTACAATTTTAAAACTTTCAGGAATCTTGAAAGGACATCCCTACCATCTCTTCTACCTGCAAGAGTGGAAGTCAGACACATCCAAGACCACATCCCATGTTTTAATACTAACTGATACCAAACTTCAGTTACAGAAGATATTTCAAGCTCTAAGTAACAGACTAAAATTTTTCTCAGGTTTCTCTGTTTTTTTCATAAATGCACGGCCAAACCTAAAGCTTGCACTTCTGCTGTAGACTGAAGAGGATATCGATAAAATCTAATTGAATAAAACAGAAGTTGAACACCAACTGTGGAACTTCTTGAATTGCATTAATACAGAAATTCAACAGAATAAAAACAAACATCCTGGAAACTGAAAGTTACAATTACTGGCAGGTTGCAATTACATGAAGGTTATAATTACCAGAAATATCTCTAAACCCACATTGATTACAACAATCACATTTATAGGTCTTCAAACTTACAACTGAGAACAAAACATTCCTCCTCGATGTTAAGAAATAACATGTTAAAATTTCCTGTTTACAGGAAATTAACAATGTTTCTTGTTTTTCACGCATAAAATGTTACAAAATACTTCACATTGAAGAAGGAAAAATAAATCAAAGTAACTCATGATTTATTAGAAAAATAAGTCCAAAACTGGAAATTAGCTTTATTTGCTGAAGGCTCTCTTTCTGTGTTCATTAAAAAAATGTTGTATTTAAAGCACTAAGCAGCTAAAACCAGGTGTAGCCATAATATTAAATCCAAGTAAGGGCAGGAGAAAAGCCAGAAGGAAATGGGAAAGAATAATAATAAAAAAATGCCACTTCTGTTTTTTAAACCAGAACATTTGACAGAACAGACCAAACAAATGTTAAAAATCCATCCCCCCAAAAAAACTTTATATCTTCTATGTAAAAAGAAGGAACAATAGTAAAAAAAAAAAAAAAAAAAAGTCTTCCAAACTTGAAGGCGTATTCCTGAAAACAAATACTGATATTAAAATATCAGCTCAACACAAAAATCGATAAACCCTTACAATCCACTTTAAAGAGTGAGTTCAATATTGCTAAATGATTTTCTACTAATTCATTGCACTAGATTATTGTGGTGAGCAGAATGAAGAAAGAAGCTGCTATCGGGAAGGAAATTAATTACATTACCATTAGACTTTCATGTTCTGCTACCCAATTTCTACCCTTGTTAACCTAACTGCAACCAGAGAGCAATGAAGTAGAGGTAGTGGGGGAAAGGCTAATCTGTCTAAACAATTTTTGACAGGTGGTTGAGGACTGAAACACCCCAAAGAATCTGAGATCACCAGAAGAGCAGAACAATTATTAGTTGCATTGTTGTCACAGAAATCAAAGATCTCATCCAGCTGGACAGCACATGAGCAAAGTAAAACAAGTGCCCTGGAAATATTTTTCACTAGGTTAATAATAGAGTTAGCAGGCTGGATTCTGGCATTGCTTGTGTCAGTAACAATGAAGTAAAAATGATCTACAGCGTGATCAGCCACTCTGCTGAAGTGCTGCTAGGGGCCAAGCAGCCTGCTGGGCTTTTCCTTCTGCCATAACAATCCTCATCTAAGTAATGCAGGAAGAGTGAAGACCCAGATCAGTACTTTTGACAACAGAATCAGCTGATTATCCCACAACAGGTATTGGTGTAACACACCAGAGCTCCCAAAAACCTTCAGAAGAGCGTGCTGGACTCAGATCATTGTGTTCAGAAGTTTTTTGGCTTTTTTTTACTGCAATGGAGAAGAAAAGGTAAATTGTCAGAAAGCCAAACCAACAGGCAAGGTACTTGGAAAAATTGGAAGTTTCAATGTTCAACTGCTGAGAAAACTCAATGATCCTTTTCTTCTTGCTGCTGCAAAGTGAAAGCCAATGACCTGATTAAAAAAGGAGTATTTTAGTAAAGGTTTCTGTAACTAAGTGGCATCATGTCCTCCTTCATGTCTGTAACACCTATTGTGTTATACCTTATGCAAAGATGATGTTAAACTATTTAATCACAACCAACTAATTACCTTGTACTTAACTAATCACCTTGTACTTCTGTTTTGTGTTAATAAGTATATAGTCAGAGGCTGAAAACTTCAGATTCCATTTGGTTGGTTTGCCAAGTTTCTGATACAGTTATTGCATCTGAAAGCATTAGTGAGCTGTGGTCAATTTTTATAAAAGGAAAACAAAAGGCAAAAGGAAAAGCACATGCCTCTCCATGCTGACGGTACTTCAGTTCTGCTCTTACAAGATTGACTCTCCTATTTAATTCCGGAAAAAAAAATATCTAAAACAACTGGAACTACTGGATAAGATTCCAAAAAGCCAGGTAGTTTTCATTTAAGATTAAAAAAATTATATTTCAAAGTTCATATATTGCATATGAAGCACTTTTTAAAGTTAATAGTTATCAAAGTGAAATGATGCACACTCTTGTAGAGCTGGGAATTGAATACAAGCCAGAACATGCCCTTCATTCATTATATCTTGAACTTTGGGAGGTACAGAATCCCTGAAATGAAGATTTCATGAAATATGAGAAATGTAGTGCTAAAGATGTAACAAAACCACAAGCACAGATCAACTGCCTTCAGCACATTCCTAGCAAAAGATCTGCTTGAGTTGAAACTAAAAGAGTGTTCAAGGACCAAAATATATTATGATGAAAGACTAATGGAGAGCAGTTTAATATCTGAAAATAGTCTAGTTAGAATATATTAGAAATAAGATTTGAGTAACTCTCAAGCATTACACGAACGAAATTCTGAGCAAACAAAGCATTATTTGTATTTCAATAGAGTTAAAATTCTAATATACAACCAATACTAGGAGAAAATTAGGCAATTATTAATCTTTCTATAACAATTTCACTTTGAAGATGGTAATGAATGCAAACAAACATACAATGGGTATGGCACAGAATTTTTTGTTTTACTTACATATCTTTGTGATCCATCGTATTCACACCTCTCAATTTTTCCCAAGCTGCCATCTGAAAAGTAAAGTTTCTCTGCCCTGTGATCAATGGTGAGTCCATTTGGTGTCAGAATATCAGTGCTAATGATAACCTGGGCATTTTTGCCTGAGAGGGTGGATCTCATGATGCTTGGGAGCTGCTCATTCCAGTTAGTCCAAAACATTAAGCTGTATTAAAATCAAAATAACAAACAAAACCATAAGATACATTTTATAATTTAATTCTCTACTAAATGAGCAACAGAGAAAAAAAATGCCTTCATAAACAACTCTGAATGGCATCTATAAATAATTGTGATAAATAGTGAACAAGAAAATGCAATGGCCTATAAATAAATTATATATATAAATTATAGTAGTTTTGTAGTTCATTAATTTGTATAGAAGTACAATTCTTTTCTCTTACAGATCTGTTCAATCCTGATCTTGTCTCTGTAGTAATTTACCATTAGAGAGAGATACAAGCTGTGTAATGATATAAACTTAATTCAGCTAATGTGTGCATTAGTAATATTTAACAGTGAAATTAATCTGCAGCTTCTCCCGTGTTAGAGCTGTAATAGAGACCCAAGGACTGGTGTGCAGAGAGTTGATAATGGGAAGAAAAGGACTTTAATGTGCTCTACAGCAGGCTCAGTCAGCCCCTTGTTGCTGTTAACAGTGACAGAAAATGTTATGGACTGGGCTGCTGATGGAATTCTAATCCATGGACTCACAGAACCTGCCCCTCCTCTCACTGCAATCTCCGTCAGAGCTTTGGGGTTTATTGGTGGTACCTTGGTAATTGTATTTTACAGTGCAGCATAAATTCTTGATTGCATTAAGAGGACATGAAGTCACACATGGAAATATGCTCCACTATTCATACAGCTTTGTACATTCAGATAATACAAGTTAAAAATAGAATTTAATATGGCAGAAATGTTCCCCAACTTCCCCAAAAGACAGAGACTGTTACAAGAAGCAGAAAAAGCAGATAGCCTTTCTCCTAGAATTAACAGAGAAAATTTAAAGTACTTCAGATGTGTAAGACACTGAAGTAACAACAAAAATCCTCTCGCTAACACAGTATTTTGAGAGTGGCGGGAAGGAACTAAGTTAGACTTCTTTGTAGGATTTTTTCCATTGTTACTTATTTTTTTTAACTTTTTTTATTTCTTGCATAAATACATGGGCCTCTATGATATGCACAAGAAACTTAGACTTCTTTTTGTATATACCTAAAATAATTTTGGAATTTTTAAATTTAAGTAGTAAGAGTGATGAAGCTTTGTGAAGGCTGACCTAGAATAGTGGCTAGATGAAGTTAAAGAATAAAGTGGTTATTTATTATAAGGCCTCCATGGATGCACCTTGGGCAATACAAGAGCCCAGCCAGGGCTACACCCAAATGAACCAAAATGGTCACAAAATGGACGATCAGTCACAGGGTCTCTCACTTTTATAAATTTTGGCCCATTTGCATATTAGAGTTAATTATCCAATTACAGCTTTAGCCCATGCAGTCCCATCCTGCTTGTTTTTCTCTCTTCAGCCCACATTGTTTGTGCTCTTGGGCCTGAGATTTGGATCATTTGTCCTTGGTCCCCAGCTAGAGAAGGAATTGTTTTGTCTCTCTACTCTGTGAAGAGAGCTTGCTATCCCCTAATACTAAGTTCAGAACTACACACTAAAGCAGCATAGAATCTGAAAAATATAAAAGCTAAAACCTGAGGAATCAGTGACACGCCTGAGAAAATGACCATTCAATAATTCGCATTTAGCTTACTCTTAAGAAAAGCAGCTTGATATTTTTTACATTCCATGAAAATGAAATGATTATTTGATCTGAAGCATAAGAACATATAAAATATTGACTCTTACTTCTGCAACTTCTTTATAAGAGCAAGCCAACAAAAGATATCAACAATAAAACATGTTAATATTTGCCTCCTAAACAGAGAAATCTAACCAGCCTTCGTAGGGTTCAGCAATATTGGCTGACTGAAAGAAAGAAGTGTTGCTTGACACCAGGCAAGAATTAGGATTTGCAGGAGAGATGTAACACCTACTTTTGGCATTCATCCAGGGCCAGCACGTGGGGATGGTCGTCCTCGGCCATGGTGATGACGGCCTCGCGGTTGAACGCCCCGCGGCGCCGCTGGTCCACGCTGTGCCTGGTGATGGAGGACGTGGTGGAGCTGGTCCAGTACAGAGTGTCCCAAGCTCTGTGATAAGCCAGGCCCTCCACTGACCCAACATCTGCAAGATACAGGGACAGACAGAGCAAGTCAAACTCCTGCCAATGGGTTGGTTTTGTTTGTCCTCAGAGCTGAACCTGCAGACTCACAGGGTTTAGTTATTTTGGCTTATTATTATTTTTATAATTTCTTCTGTTTACTTTTATTGTAATCAAAATCTTATTTTCATAAATTTAAATTAAAACAACACAGAGGGCAAGACCACTTTAATAACACTTTTCTATATTTATTAATTCTAACAATCATCCCCAGATAACACTTTAGAAATAACAAACATCTATTCAAGACAATAATTATTTAGTCTCATCTTCAAATACCATTTAAACCAGGTCTTGGCATTTTTTCAACAGTTACTTGTATTATTTTGCACCATCTCTCAATGTATTTTGTAGCACTGACACGTTATACTAATAGGGATCAAAGTACCCTGTTGTTAACAACTGTATTGGCTTTTGCTAAACACCTGAAAATTACTGAAAAAATACCAACTCTGAAGGTCTTAGCATCAACATATAATTTTAATAAGCCATGACACCATGCTCATTCATTCAACACAAAAAACCGTGAGGAAAAAAATATTAATAAGCAACCTAAGCATATATATAATGCCATGAAAAGATAAATTGTACTTAATCCCAATATATAAAAGTGACAGACTGTGAGAAATAGGAATAATTATTTTCTACCACTATTTGTGAATTACTACAGAAATATGTATCTTGATAACTACACTTATTATTTTGCTAGAAACAAATATTTTTAGACCAGAAGGTTCATGCAGCTTATTAATGAGCTACAGAAGGCAAAAATCTAGAAATATCATTAGGATTATATTATGTTGGCCATTACAATTTGCATTCAGCTTGGTGAAAGATGTAATTTTTACTATGCAGTTCATATACACAGAACAAAAAGTCCCAACTTTTTGACTTTTTGGTTGATCACTTTGAAAGAGCAAACACTGAATCAAAATTTCGAGGCACATAAATCAAAATGATGAGGCCAATAATGATGTATTTGTTTTTTGTATTTTTATTATTAAAGCATTTGGCCATCTTCTGATGTCACATTTTGTGACATATCTGTGGAGAAGTAACAATGACTTGTATTCAAGAAACAACAGAAAAAATGAGATGGCACTCCTTAAAGGGAGAAGAATATGTGTAAAAATAGTTTGCCTACTTATGAAACAGAATTTATGAAAGAAACCCCATCTACCTTCAGCTCATCTACACGTAATTGAAAATAGTGAAATATAGTGAAGGTTTTAGAAATCACCAACTGAAATTCAAAGACAATCAGTTATCTCAAATATCATATAAGAGATTTCCATTAAATTTATACACTGAATCCAAATTCAAGACTACATACAATTCCCTAAACTAAACTAATGCAAATGCTCTTAAATACATGATTTAACTATTAGGTTTCCCTTCCCTGTGTGGAATCACAACTTGTTCTCAATAGTCCTCATGGGTCCCTTTCAACTCAGACATTCTGTGATTCTATTAAAAAATTACAGAGGTATTGACATTTTCTGACCAATTCTACACTGCATTTGTAAGGAACAAACCATCAAACCATTTATTACTCTTCATTTTTAAGATGACAGGAAAAAAAATCATTTTCCTGGTGTAACTTCTTGAATTTCTATCAATTTTAGATTTTTTGCCTGTCTGAATCTGTCATGAAATTTGAGAGCAAACTGATTACAGAACATAGTCCAAAACTCTTTTGTAGCAGACAAAAAATAATGATGGTCTTCCTGTCACAGCGAGATGCGATCAACTAAGACACAACTACAGGGATGAAAGTGCTCTTCAATACCAGATTTGTTGTTTTATGAGTAATTCCTGTGCTAAAGAGTGAAACTCAATTTTCCCAGGGGTATCAGAAAGCAAAGTTCCCCCTTCTTACATCATACTGCCGTTACATGTTTAGGCCTGTGAATAGTGAGAGAAGGAGGTTTCATTTCAAGTTACTGTTTACAAAATGGTAATTCCTAAATTTTTAGACAACAGCTACATGGGAAGTTATGGCATGTATGGAGACAAGTGAACATTTAGCACACAGATGAAAAATGTCTTAATAAATTATCTCAAATATAGAGTTTTGCAAAAAAAAGACCTCTGACATAGAACTTGTTTCATACATAACTGAAATAGGAAAACTCAGAGTAAAAAAATATGCTCTTACAAAAAAAAAAAAAAAGAAGGAACCAGAGTAATTAAATTGCTAAAAGACAAGAAAAAATAAGTAAAAAGAAAACTGACTTCTGCAGACACACACCAAATGCATTTTCCTAACTCCACCAAAAGCATTTTTTCTGAAGGATTTACACCAGGCACACTCTTTTATTTGCTAATAAACTTTTAGTTTTATCATGTTCTGTACTTACGGAATTGACAACTCAACCAATATAGAAGTGACTAATTTAATAGCTTTAGAAATCTATAAATAAGGTGGCTTTAAAGTCAAGGGCAATGATTTAGAGAGAGATACTTATGGAATTGACAATTCAACCAATATAGAAGTGACTCATTTAATAGCTTTAGAATCTATAAATAAGGTGGCTTTAAAGTCAAGGGCAATGATTTAGAGAGAGATTCAACTTTTAGATAAATACTTACAATGGATAACACAAGTAACTTTGTTCTTACTAGCATGTGGTGTGAGCTGGATATGCCAGCAGTGCATTTTTTTGGTAATTTATATGTTTCTAGATTAAATTTATTTGTTGTATGGCTTTTTGGGGTCTTTTGTTTATTTGTGTTTTTGTTTTGGCTTTCTTATTTGTTTGTTTAGTTGCTGATGAATCTCCAAATTCCTGTAAATCTTTTTATCAGTGATAAAACAGTGACCAAGGACAGATTTATCCTAGAAATGGTCCTCTAGACTTTAGGCTGTTCCTTAAAACCTTTCAGCAACTTTATATTTCCAAAGACAGGACACTGGAGAAGATTCCTAAGCAGTGTTATATTGTTACTGATTTGCATAGATATAATTTATATTTATTTATTTCATACTCCTTTAAAGAATATTCTAGAGCACATTATTCCTTAACTTTAATTTATCATTATATACTCAGTTACTAGAAAATACATCAGAAATATGTACTCATCCTCTCTGGTGCTACAGTTGGGGGATTTAGTCCCAAGGTTGAAAATTAGCAATTTGTTTACTCTAAGCTTCATATTTCTGCAGCATCATGTAATATTCTGAATTGGTAAAGCATAAAGAAACTGGAAATGAAAAGAATCCCATTTGTTTCACTGACATATTGAATTAAAACACTGATGGCATTAGATGCCTACAGCACTGATTAAATTTATTCTAGCCATGAAGCAACAGTTTATGATTTTCACATGAATAGCATACTTAAATGAAAAGAACATTAATACAATATGATATTAATATACAAATACTCACATTATTCACCTGCCACTGACGTTCTGAATTAAATCAGTAATGGGGTGTATAACTGATTAAATATCTACACAAGAGAATGCAACAGCCTATGATTTACAAAGGCAATGCCAGAGTGATCACATCATTACGTTGCCAAATGCTATCTATCACTTTTACTGAAGTTAACGAAGATAGATTGCATCCCACAGATGAGATGCAGCCTATAAATATTGCCAAGCTGATCTTCAGCTGACTTTCTCAGGGAACAGACAAGCAACAAATCAATAGCTGAAGAAGTCAGAATACGCTCCCTTATTAATGCAACGAGAATATAAAAATACTAAAGGGCAAAGCTTAAATTATCTAATAATAGTTGAGTTTGGTTATATATATATATAGATATACACACAAAGACACACTAGTTCTCCAGTTCCTAGATTTTTACCTCTTCTGTTTTAAAACCATCTAGAAAGTTTACAGTCAAAACTTTTCTAACTGCACCACTTCAATTACCTTGTTCCTTTAATTTCCTATTTCAACCAACTCCTTTTCTTTAACAATGATGTAAATCAAGGACAACTGTCAACATCATAATTTTTTTAACACTGAAAAGCCATCAAAGTAATAAAATTGAGCATAAACAGCACTTTGCTATCAGAACATTGGCCATGGCTTTAACGATCAGTATTCATTCTCTGGCTCAGTTTTGCAATTTCCTTTTCAGGATTCAGCCTGTGGATGGTTCCAGCAGGCTGCTCACAGGAGGGGGCCGTGGTTTCTGTCACTCTGTTTGTGCAGGATTATGGTGACAGGGAACAGGTGGTCACCGTTTGATCTGGGCTGAAAGCGAAGCCTTACAAGCAACAAGGCACCTGAAGGAAAGTGTTTATTTTCACATCTCTCACTGACTGCACAATCAGAACTTCACATAATTCCCACCCTCACTTTGCTCCTCAAGTAACAGAAAGCTTTTTGCTAAACAATAGTTCTAAGACAGAACTAAGTTCATCATAAACTGCAATAACCAATTATGACATCATTCTATTTAGCCTAAAAATATAATTTAGTTTCAGAGCAGATGTAAAGTCTGCTAAAATTATACCAAAAATGAGCAAATATCTGTACCATTTTTCTCTGTCTTGAAAAAAAAAATTCTGCTATAAGCTATCCCACATAAAATAGTTTTAAATGCAATAAGACAGCAGGAACAAAGGCTTTGGATTCTTCAAGGTAACAAGTAGCTTAAGTCCAAGACAATACAAACATCTCCATGGATGCGACCTTACTACTCAAATTTCCTGAGACAATATTGGAAAGAATGAACATTTGTTGGGAATGATATAAAGAAATAGAAGACCATTCTAAAAGGAGAAAAATCCCCCATTATTTGTTTTTTGTTTTGTTGTGGTTTTTTTTTGTGGAAAGTGTAATACTGATATCTCATATCTAGCAAAACATTTGGTGCCTGCCAAAACCAACAGCTTTTTGACAAAATCTATATCTACCTCCAATTATTTCTTTCCAGACAATGGATATAGCCCTTCCACAAATCTTCCCTGATTACTTACCAAGGAAAATCACAAGAGAGATGCA